TGATGAAAGATTACGACTGCGAGATTTTTTACCATCCTAGGAAAGCCAATGTTATGGACAATGCTTTGAGCCACAAGGCGGTGAGTGCACCTATTGGAGATTTATGTCTAAGGATGGTCATTGTTTCACCACAACTGGATCTGATCAAGAAAGCTTAAGTGGAGGGGTTTAAGAGAGAAAATTGGGTGGAAGAGAGGATCAGGGGTTAGATTCCGTTGTTTGTCAGGGATAGTCGTGGATTATTAACCTGGTGCAACAGAGTTTGGGTCCCGGTTGTTGGTAAGGTTAGGAAGACGATATTAGAGGAAGATGATAAGTCATAGTTTTCGATTCATCTGGGGGCCACAAAGATGTATATAGACCTGAGATTGAGCGACTGGTAGCCTTGCGTGAAGAGGGAGATAACATGGTTCATGGAGTGGTGCTTGACTTTACGGAAAGTCAAGGCCGAATATCAGAGGCCCCATGGCAAGTTGCAGCCATTACCTATTCACATGTGGAAGTGGGAGGATATGACCATGGATTTTATTACGAAGTTGTCGAGAACGACACGTGGGGTTGATTCTATCTGGGTTATCATTGGCAGATTGACAAAGAGTTCTCGTTTCATACCCATTTCTGAGAGCATCTCCACCGAGAAATTGGCTGACATCTATATAAGGGAGGTAGTGGTTCGGCACGGGGTGCTAGTTTTGGTGGTTTCTGATTGAGATGTTCGCTTCACCTCCAGTTTGTGGAGGAAATTTCATGAGGATTTGGGTACCCAACTACCCTTCAACACCGCATACCACCCTCAGAATGATGGACAATGTGAGGGACCATTCAGACGCTCGAGGATATGCTTAGGGAATGTGTACTTAATTTTGGCAGGAGTTGGGATACTTATCTACCATTGGCCGAGTTCTCCTACAACAAAAATTATCATGCCAGTATTGATTGGCCTCCCTTTGAGATGATTTATGGACGTAAATATCGGACCCCGTTTTGCTGGGGCGAAGCCGGGCATCGAGTTATGTGGAGTAGTGAGGTGGTACTCAAGACCACGAAGTTGATTTAGCAGGTTCACGATCGGCTGCAGAGCGCACATAGTCGTCAAAAGAGCTATGCTGATCGCCGACCTATAGACCTTGAGTTTCAGGTTGGAGACTTTGTGCTTCTGAAGGTGTCACCTTGGAAAGGTGTCATCCAGTTCAGGAAGTGGGGCAAGTTGGGCCCCAGGTACATTGGTCCCTTTAGGATTATTGCTCGGGTAGGCAAGGTTGCGTATTGATTAGATCTGCCAGAAGAGATTAGTTATATTCACAACACTTTTCATGTTTCTTAGTTGCAAACGTGTTTAGCTGATAATCTTACGGTGGTTCCTCTGGGTGATATTCATGTTGATGAGGGTCTGAGTTATATAGAGGGGCCGATTATGATCCTCAATAGGAAGATGAAGACCTTGCGCAACAAGGTGGTGGGTCTAGTGAAGATGAAATGGCAGCACCAGAAGGGTTCCGAATGGACTTGCGAACCCGAGGTCGAGATGAGGGAGCATTACCCGAATTTGTTTGCGACACCAGACTTCGAGGACGATGTCTGATTCAAGTGGGGGAGAGTTGTAACATTCAGATCTTTGAGGTATGAATTTTTAAAGCAATTTGGGATTTTTGGTTGGCCACCACGTGGTGAAGGCATCAGTATGACGTGGCAAAGTTTTATGGGATGCACATCGTTAGTGAGTGCCACGACGTGGCGTTATATTGGCCACGACATGGCATCCATTTTGTGCCAAAACCTAGTTTCATATTTTATGCCCCTATTTAAGGGATGTGATGGCTAGGGTTTTCACACCCTCAACCTTCATCACCTCCCTCTCCCTATATTTGAAGCTCTAGCCTCCATTGTTGAAGATCTTGAGCTTTTGTTAGTATTTTCGTGTGTTGAAGAAGAAGGAAGCACACTTGGAGTGTAGATCTAGCTTGAAAGCCTCAACATCATCTCTAACCTTATTTTTCTGGACCTTTGTAAGTGTTCAAGATCCAGCCTTTATTTCTTTATGTCTCTAGATCTAGGTTTTTGTCCACTTTTCTCTATCTTGGGTTGGATAGAGTGCATGGAATCCATAAAGTTAGCCACTTTATGGATTGTTGAGGTCCCTTAATGAACATATGTGACAACCCAGAAAATGCGTCATCAACCGCTGTTAGTACTTAACGATATAACGTGAATTTTAATATATTCGAATTTTTCTTCCTTAATTACCTCAACCGTTAGACTAAAAAATGTGTGCGTAAAAAGTCGTGTCACTTTGAGAGCAAGTTAGCATATTTAGAATCTTTAAACCACTGCGATTCCAGAAATATAAATTTTGCAAGAATCCGACTCATTATGGGCGAGATATCACTTTTATAGTAAATAAATATCTACCAAAGTTAAAAAGTTACAACGACAAAAACTACAAAGAGAATAGTTGACATTTGGAAAAAGTCACAAACTAGGAAATCGTAGTACTACTTAAAGTGGAAATTATGAGACAAAGAACGCCTAAAACTGAAGCCGTATGAGAGAATTATGATTTTTATAAAATCATAACGGTAATAAAAACTAGTCGAAAAACAAAAGCCAGAACTAGCCAAAACGACCAAAAGGAAAGTTGTAGAGGATAACGAGACCTACAAGTATATACAAGATTCGTTGAAAATGGAGTTCGTATGCGAGAGTTATGAAATTTCAAAGTTTGATTTTTACCGTCACGCCTGCGCGCGCGCAGCGTGCCACGTGCATTCTGACAGTTGATTCGCTTGGATACAAGATGACGTGGCACAAGGAGATGACGACATGTGGCAACCCCCTTGTGGATCACGCACAAAAGCGCAACGTGCAATGTGCGGTGCACAATCCAAAACTTGCTATAAATAGCAGGCTTTGGGAGATCATTTTCCTCACTCCTCACACTCGTTCTCTGTCTGCATCGATCCTCGTGCCACTGCCCTGAGCGCCTCTCGAAGTGTTGGCTTTCGGTTTTTACCCTATAACAACATTTTCATAACTCACACGTGAGTTCACGACCCCATTTTCCAAACCATTTTCGGGGGGGGGGGGGGTGAATACATGTTAAAATGCAACTATACATAGTTATTACTAACTGTAGTTAGATAATTATGCACGTCACATTAGGATAATATTATGCCTGGTAGGTACTCTGTCCAAACTTTTAGCTAATATTATGCCTAGTTGTTATACAAAATCACTATGATAGATAAGATCATACATAATTGTTACGCTGCCCAGTTACCAGGAAACATTGATACTTTAGTCATTATTATAGCCACCCTTTGTATAAGCTTCGTACCTAGTGTAACTCTGCCCAAATACCCAGCTATGCAAAACAAACTAATTATATATATACGTATAAGATAAATAATATATATAGTAAATAAGTACGTATGAATACAACAAGAATAACAACAGGATTGACCAGGGGAGGCCCCCATAACAAGAGTTAGCTGAGACATGATTCATTAACACGCTGAAAGATTTTCACCTAGCTCTCGGCCTATAATCGTTAAATCTTAAGTGAGAGGGAGAGATTTGTATATACTATACGAGATTGACACTCCCACATATGGTTTCTGGCTACAACTTGAGAACAAGTTGAAGCAAGCATAACGTTCTAAACACATTTGCGACGTTCGATGAAACACCGTGGTTTTCAGGATCAACAGTCATAGCTCGATTTATATGACCTCATTGTAACTTTGTTAAACAAAAACTAACCATCTTAGACTATTACTAAGTACCAACCTAAGAAAGTAGTGATAGTACGCACAAACTCGAGGAAGTGAGTTTAGGATAAACGAGATAACTAAAATACCCACAGAACATTTATAATAATAAAACCTATGGACTCACCAACGTTATATTGACCTCTTAAAACCACATGTATTCTCAGGAGAATGAACCCGACTGAAGGAGGAGGTAACCCCGATGATTTAGCCCGGAGTCTATGTGCTTTACTTTTTTATTTTGCTTTTGTAACCTACCTGTACCTCAAACAGATGTGTAACGTATTTTATTTAATGAATAAATAGCCACGTTCTTTAATATATCAGTGTATTACTTAATGAATGTCTGTGTCCTCAAATCCAAGATCCAAACGTCGCACAACGTGTCGTTTCTGCAGCCGACCAGGGTTGTGATAGATTGGTAACAGAGCTTTAGATTATAGCGACTAGTAATTCCTTAGGAAATACAATTATAATCTAGGACTATAGTCTACTTAGGTTTAACCCTTTAACCCTAATAAAAAGTATTAATATTAATTATCCAACTTCATGACTAATTACGTGAGAGGTGACTAGTTTGAACTATTACTTGGGTTACTGGATTTCAAAACAGCTATATGCTAAAATAGTCCTACCCTATGGTACTTCTCATTTGGGCGATCCATACTTGATAGTATTGGATTACTAAACACTAAAAATTAATAAAATATACAAAACCAACAAAGATTAAAATATATAGAGCGATATAGATACACTCTTATAAGTATATCTACTACCCACCAGCACGAACACACGAAGTCACAACTCAAGATTTTTGGCCAAAAGCTATGTTTAGAGTTGGTATAGTATAGCGGCCGTACCACAACTACACCTAGAATGCACAACTAAGTTTTATTATGGTCCGACCGACATAGGACCAAACTCAGATACAATGGTTGGCAATCTAAACGTTTGAGGACCTCTAGATTGGATGCATAGACAAGGAATATTAACTTAAAGGCTTCTTTTATAGACTTCTACATCCAAGGATTTCTGGCTTAACGACGTCTACACTCGAGGACTTTCTATCTTAGTAACCACTATTCGTGACTTACGACATAGTAGGCAGACTCATGAGTTATGAATACTATCTATTACATACTTATAATGGGATTTATATAGTATTTATTTGATCTTCACATCTCTCAAAAACATATTTCCTGTTTGATGTATTATGCAGGTTTGCCCAAGAGGATGGCAGGCACAGGATCGTGGAGTGCAGCTTCTTTGTCTGAGGAGGAGCATGCAATACTTGGCACTTTAGACCCTGTCGACACCCCAATGACGAGAATGACTTCTGGGGAGGAGCCTACATATGACGATGATGACACTGAGCCCAATTATGCTCTAGCTAAGCACCCATCCGAGCCAGTCAATTCACCAGACTACAGACCGGCTGGACTTGAGCTTCTCAGCTCCAAGTATGAGCCAGACAAGGATGACGAGGACACTGCCACCTCACTCGAGATCTCACCACCCTGCCCCACTCCTTCACATCTATCTTTTAGAGCGCACACTGGTAATCGGGTGAACCAAAACCTGAGGAAGACTATTGTTATTCCTTCTTGGAAGAGAGCGGCATCCCCACCACCATCATCACCGCCAAAGAAGAAACCATGTGTCGACGCCACTTGGATGCCTCATATACGAGCTTGGATGTAGGATGTGGATATCAACTCGTGTTTCGAGGTAGGGTAGTCCTCTACTGTACCTCCCCTACCTCGAACTTTCCTGTCGTGGAGGCTATCTCCTTACTAGTACCACGTACCGCCCATCACTCGGATCGAATAGGAGCGATGAACTCTAAGATCTTTCTGTTGAGAATAGCCTTGAGGCAGCTCATGGAGCGGGTACAATATTTGGAGGAAGAGAGGGATGTGATGGAGATGAGGAACCTAGTTATTCAGGATTAGTTACAGGAGGCGAGGGATGAGGCCCAGTTCGATCATCAGGTGTTGGAGGAGATGATCAGTCATACGGACAGATTGGAGCTCTAGGTGGAGTGTCGAGTTTATTTTTCTGATGTTTGGATCGATTATGTGTATAGACAGTTGGTTCAATTGATGGCTCTCTTGATAGTGTACTACTGATACTGTTGGATTAGGTGTCTAAGCCCATAACTATAACTGGTATGTAATTGACCCGAGAGTAGCATGGTCCATTTGGGTTGCATTAACCAGAACAATCTGATAGGATGGACATTTGATAAAGGGGTTAGTTATGATTTATTAATGTATTATAAGTATAATATATTAATGGAGAAATCATATTATTTAATTAGTATTGATCAAGAATTAATTTGGAATTGATTTAGCGATCAAAAGAGACTAATTAAAATAATGGGGATTAATTGTGCAAATTAGTGATACATATGGTTTGGGCTATTCATCCATGATAGACTAGGTTTATGTGAGAGTCCATGAAGAGTTAGTCCACATGAGTTATGGATCATAAGCCTAAGTGTAAGAATTAGGGTTTCATATGACTCTTGGAATTCTAACACTATATATGTAACCCCTTAGGCCCCAAAATCGGATGCATGTGTGACATAGCAAGGGTATAGCCGATTTTAGGGTTTCCAACCTCTCTCTCAAGTCATCCAATTGTTGGTGGTGTTTTGTGAAGCATTTGAGGCATCACACTTCAGGTGCTAAGCTCTAAAAGGCCAAGTAATACAAGCTACAACAATAGGTAATCTTCTAACTAGTTTTTTATGATTCATATATCAAGTTTCATGCTAGTTAGGCTTCATGCTTTAGAAAAATTGTTTATTGCATGTATAACTAGAGAAAACTTAGATCCAAAGCATTAGGGTTGTATGTGCACCATAGGGATTGTTTTCTGTTATATTGATGCTTGGTTGTTTTTCAAAGTTGAAAAAATCACATTTCTGGCCTCTGACTGATGAACTCGACGAGTCCAATGATCCGACTCGACGAGTTCACTCACAAAATGGCAAATCGACGAGTCCAGTTCATGCACTCGTCGAGTAGAACCTTCTCCTTGCAGATTTTCGAGCCTTTTGGCCAGAATTGGATTAGGATCATTACAACAAACTGTTTTGCATCATAAAATTCGTGTTTTTTATGATATGATAGTGGTTATCCTCATCCAATTAAAGGACAATTATCAAATTTTAAGATAATAAGTTGATTATTTGTATTATTTCATTTGAATTGCCTTGCTATATGAGTTAGATTAGATCAACTTGATGAATAACAAATTATATGAAAATTGAATAAGTTATAAATGATCTAAATTATTCTTGAAGAGAGTTTCGAAACCAAAAGTTTTGAAGAGTTGCAAAACTTGCCCTCAAGTTTTGGAATTTGTAAAGTCTCACTTATGAAACATTTAATTACAAACCTTAGAAGTTTAAAAGTTTAAAATTCAACCCTTATACTATTATAATATTAAAAGTTAATACTATATATATTAAAAGTTAATACTATTATAATATTAAAAGTTAATAATATTATAATATATATATATATATATATATATATATATATATATATATATATATATATATATATATATATAAGACAAGTCAGTCTTACCGTTAGTAGGCCTCATTCACGAAGCCGATCTATAAGGGGGTATAAGGAAATTTCCTATAAAATGGCAATTGAATGGGTTTCCACTCTCACCCACCGCTTCCTTGACTGGTGGAGGGTCGTTAGCCGAACGAGTAGGATAGGACATTAATTCTTATTAAAAGTCTAATGATAGTTATAAAGTAACTAAATGTTTTTATAAAATTCCCAATTTGTAGTTACTTTAGGAAAAATGTGAAAATGATGCTATTCCATGAAATTTCACCTTGCACCTTGTCAAGTCGTTAGTGGAGCGTGTGTGGTTAACCGGCACACTATCTTGGACTAACAAGGCTGGCAAAGGGTAGCTTGATGTTTTTCATAGATCAATGGAGTGTGTGTTGTTAACGGGCACATTGTAGTGGTGTTGATTATGATGGCATGTGCGGAATTAGAAAAGATCTAGTAAATCATCATAAAAATCAAGAACACATCGAGTAAAGAAATAGGGGTTTAACTCTCATTAGTATTGATAGAAAGAGTACAAATGGGTCTTGCAATTTCTCTCTTAACTAATGCTCTCAAAGTGTCCATTACATAAATGAGTGTCACTCACTTCCTATTTATAGGAAAGACAACTCATCACACAATACACATGGTTAAAGCACAAATACATCCAAGAGTGACTTTGCACCCTAACATTCTCCCCCTCAAAGTTAGGATTGGATGTCCGGCTTCAATATCCAACGAGCTCGCGCGATCAAGACCAAACACCCCTCGAAGTAACACCGGTCTTCAAATCCGCAAATGAATACCCAAAAAACTAGCTTCGAATACCCATCATTCTCCCCCTTTTTTATATTCAAAAAATGATTATAAAACCCATTAAGGGTGAGAAGCGCCCGAGGAATGAACTTCACAATACTCCCCCTTGATGTGTACCAAAAATGAAACTCCCGAAAAACTTGCACGGAAAAACAATCACGAAAAAGCCTAAATTTTTTTTTCCAATATGTGAAATTTTTTTGACTTTTGGGTGAAAGTTGCAAGATTTTCCAAAATCCGGGTAAAAACTGTCAATAACAGAATTCTGCAGGGACCCGTTGCACTAAAAACAACCAAATATGCGAAACTTTCCCCCATTTGCGAAACTGGGTAGAAAGTATAAATTGGCACAAACTGCAGGGACCAGAAATGAACATTCTTCAATTTCTCAGCTTTGGAACACCATTTTCGAAATTAGGTATGTTCTGCCAAAATTTTGAAACTTCAGGTACTAATTTCGAAAATTCTGCCTCTTTTCTTCAAACTTTCGAAAAGTTTGTCCAACTTTCTAATATAGGGTTAAAGTGTCAAACTTTCGAAACTTGAGTGACTAATTTCCAAACTTTTGTATCATCTTCTTCAATTTACCCAGTTCGTGAATTTGGTAACAAAGGTTTCATCTCCTTCCCAACTCGTTATTAACTTTCGAAATTGACCAATAAAATCTTCGTTAGTCCATACCAAAACCTTCGTTAGTCAACATCGATGCTCAAATTTTCGACAGTAAGACAAAAATCTCCGCGATCAAAATCTTCGCCTTCCCGATCTAAAATCTTCGACTATTGACTCAAAATCTTCAAAAGTCGACTTCAAAAACGAATCCACCAATCTCTTCGCTTTTCATTCATGAACCCAGTCAATACCAAGCAATGAAGCAATATACCAAATCTTTGCTTTTTGTTGCCAAAATCTTCGTTACTTATAAGATCTTCCCATTCGTGATCAAGCAACGATCATCAACCAGTTGAAAATTCAACCACAGTCCACAACTATCGACACTCAACTCCAATCGACATATAAACCAAGATCAACAATCAACAACAAAACTTCAATTCTACATACTCCCTTACTCGGATTCGATTTTCAGAGAAGAATCATAATAATCGAAAGTCATACTACACATCTCCAATCAACTCCAATCGACTCCAATCTACTCCAAAACCTTCTCTATCAAAAATCAAATCTCTTCATCTGTTCGTTATCAATCGTCGACCATCGTACCTTTGTTTTCAGTTACTAACCATCGACTCCGAATGCATCGATCATTACTACTCATCATCACATCGATAGAATTATTCGACTTTAATAAATGAATACCAACCCTTCGCACATCAATTACCAACCGATCAATGCAAAGAATCTCAAACATCAAAACCTTCGTTTTCAATATCAAACTCATCATCTCAGTTAATTTCAAAAGCAATCGACTTCAATAAACTCCAATTCAAGCCTTCCCATTTGACATCGACCTGTAACCATTCTTACTGTAAACACGATTCTCATATGAACCAAATCGTGAACTCAAATCAATCAGATAATGAAGCCATTGATGCCAAACCAAACCACCGATCAACAAATCTTCGAAATCTAAATCAATCAACCATCGATTTCAATCTTGTTATCTGTTTCTGCTTCCCAACACAATCCAAATCGACATCAGCACTTCGATTAGAATCAGCAAGTATCGACTTTTCCAAATCTCGATATCAAGCCATTCACTATCAACATGAACCAAACTAGAGTTGAAATTCACTGAATCGACAAATAAGAATTCTATTATGACTTTTTCTGTTTGACTCCGATGAACACAGTCAATTGCGTTCGACTCCAATCAACCAAATATGTTCGATTTTGAACGAAATCAAGTAAAACCAGTCAACTTTTGATTTTTGATTCCAAGTTTAAACATTCGATTCTCCATTTCAAATCAAATCAGTCGAACTCGACATTAATTCCTAGTCGATTCCAACTTCAATTTTTTTTCTATTTCGATTCATCTATAACTCGTTGGACTCTAATCCAAGTACGACTTCAATCAAAATCGAATGAACATCGATTCCAATTTTTTTTAGTTAAAAATCATTAATTATACCAAAATCTTTCGATTCCAAGGAACTCAAGAACTCAAGAAAAATATGATGAATGCAACTTCAGAATGTACAAACAGGACAAACATATTTTGACGAACGCATATATGTGGACTGAATTTTGATGAATCATTGGGCTTCAACATTAAAATCAGATTCAATAACATTTGGGATGAAACATGAAATGAACAGTAATCGATTATCATGTTTGGGCTCAAGTAAAAATGTGGATAAACAGTGAATTTTGAATTTGAGAATGTTTTTGGGATTTTGATCTAAACAAAAATAATTGGATCAATCAAAGTGGCTGAAACTGATTTGATCCAATGAGGCAAATCGATCAAAAATGAAAAACGCAAAATACGAATAGAAATCATGGACGTTTTAGAATCCATTTGAGAATTTCAGATACCTTTTTGATGAATCGATTTCCATTTTCAACGAACGAATCAAATTTAGAAGATCTTGGTTCTTTTGTTGGAACGAGAAAATCTCCAATTTTAACATTGTACCACCCACAATGCATGGTGTACAACTCATTCTTCATGTTCTTCGTGTTCTTCAATGATCCAAGAACATCTTCATAAGAACCACCAATAGTTTTGGGTTTTGACTTCAAATTCAATGCAACATTTGAAGATT